TAGCAAAGAGTGTAAACGTTGGGGATCATTTCTGCTAATTACCCTAATTACATTGCACAAATACTTTTAACGAATAGCAAAAGTCGAATTTTACAAAAGTTACATAGTTTACTCACTTGGTGTAGCTAATAAGAGTACCTCTCAAGTTTCACTATTGGTTGCTTTTGTGTTATTGGTTACAAAATGATTATTGATTTTTCACTCTCTCTCTTTCTTTTCTCCTCTTTGAATTAATTCACTATATTGATTCAAGATATTTCATATTGTTAACAGCCAAATTTTTGTATTGAAGTTGATTCTTTCCTCTCAAACTATTTTGTGCAATTGAAATCCTTTCCTTCTTTTCTTCTCATCTAGAAATCCACATTAATTGAGCAACTTATTCCACTTGCATTCTTTTGCGTGTATAGTTGCTGTCTAAATCATTTGAAGTTTGTGGACGGTGATTTCTTTGAATTGTAGCAACTTTTGGTCAACCGAATTTGGTGCAGTGAACGTGGACAGCTGGATATGAATATGAATCCAACAGTCAATAAATGGTACAAAAGTGAAATTCATAAACTCACTACCACCTTTGTTTTTCGAGGAACCTTGACTTTTATTTACTTAGGGTACATCAACTTTCAACTGCTCTTTTTTTAGGCATCCAAACTTTTAATTTTCTCTAATACATACTCGAACTTTGATCTATTTCTCATCGATATCTAATTTAACTAGACATTTCTTATAGGTATCCAATCTTTCATTTTTCCATAATCCATACCTGACTTCTAAATATGTTCCCCTTCCATACCTAATTTAACCGACCACTTCAACTCTACATGAAATTGATAGCATTAACCCCTTTAGCAACATAATAAATCTCAATTATCCCAAATTATATGAATCGTAGTCTTTGTTCCACAATTCCAATTCCAACCTAATCTGCTAGTATTAATAATGTTCCACAAGATCATTTTTCCAAAATCAATGGTACCAATTCGCTCTAAAATGTCAACTGTACATTGCCTCGCATATTCACAAATCCTCTTTTAGCACCATAATTTATTTGAATCATTAACCTGCTATCATATAACAATGATGTGCATTTCAAAAACAAAGAACTTGATTCGTAGAGTTTGGGGGGAATTTAAAATTTTGGGTGCCTATAAGAAACTGAGTCACCCATTATTCTTTCTAGTCTCAAGTATTTCTTTTGAAGTAAACCACATTTACACCACAATTTTATGGGTGAATATATTGTCACCACAAATTTTGTTATTTATACCACACTTGTTACTAAAATGACCATATGTAAAATGACTTAAAGTACCATGTTGTGCACATCTGTTCTTT